CCTGCCTGCACCCAGGGGCTGCCTGCTCCCCCTGCCTGCTCTGCCTGCATCCCTGCCTGCACCCGGGGGCTGCCTGCTCCCCCTGCCTGCAGTCAGCAGAGCCCCAGCATCGAGACAGATCTGGGGGCTCGGGTTGCACTGGAGGGGCTTTGAAGGGTCAGCGGGGGAAGATTTGGGGTGGCAGAGGCCACGGGGTGTCAGCCAGGCATGGGCTGGGGGTCAGTCCTGTCCTCGGCCACTGGCAGCTCCCGAGGCCGCATATTTGGATGCTTCCCTGCATCCGCCGTGAGAACGACTATTTTTAGCTCCTTCTGTTGCAACAGATGTAGTTTTGGGGGCTTCCCAGCGCGGTGGCAGGGCCGAGGAATGCCAGTGGGAGAGGGGCACCTCGCTGCTGCCCCCAGGGAAACACCCCAGAGCCCTGAAGGGTCCATCCCAAGAGCCTCCCCAAAGGACAGGCAGAGGTTGCGATTTCCAGTCTCCAAACAGGCTCCAAGCTGGGAATAAACTCATTTGTCACAGCATGGAGAGGATAAACCACATCAAGCATCCCACGGTGCCCCCCAAGTTCTGCTCCAGCATAATGTCCAGGTGGGCTTGGAGGGCTGTGCTCAGAGTGGACTCCAAAACCCAGGGGTGTAACTCCTGCCCTTTGGCATATTTCCCTTGATCTGAGCTGGAGTCGCTCCCTGGGCTTGAGTCTTACAGGGCAGCAAAGAGCCCCAAAACCTGGGGCCTTCTGGGGTCTCCCAAATCCAAACCTCACACACCAGGGTCTCCCAGTCCCCCAAACCCAGGCACTGGGGTCCCCCAAGCCTTAAACCAGCCCCCAAACCTACACAACAGGGTCTCCCCATCCTTGTCTCCAAGGCAAAGGGGTCTGGGGGTCCATATTCCCCCATGTCCGGCCTGTGCCAGCCCCTTGGAGGGGTTTGGACACAGACAAGTTCCATGGGATGGTGGCACAGCAGCAGGGACAGGGTCACAGCCACCCAAACCCGCGAGCCCAGGTGGTCCGGGCTGAGCCTTCCCACAACTCGTCACACGCCACCAGCCCCCCAAGCCCCTCACAAAGGACTCACCAGCCAAAGCTGCCCATTCCTGGTCCCACCTGGGCACCTGGTGGCACTGGGGAATCAGGAGTGCCCGGATGCCACCCCAAGCTCCCAGCCCATCACTCACCTCCTCTGGAACCCGCGCTGGGAAGGGCTTTGTGCCGGAGCTGGGGGAGGACGGCAGCGGGACCGAGGAGAAGCAATTTTTCCCATCAGAAGGAGCTGAGGTTTTCCAGGCCTGCCCTGGCTGTCCCCTCCCAGGCCCCTCTGTCCCCCAAGACCACCAGCTGGGTCAGGGATGGAACCCACGTGTCCCCAGCTGGCAGAGAGGGGCAGGACAGCAGCGACACACAGGCGAGCTGTATTCCCAGGGCTGTGTTTATAAATGTCACGTTTACATAGACCCTACAAAAACTGCTGGCAAGTGAGGTGGGAATGCATGCCCCATGGGATTTCCCTGCCTGGATCTGCCCAGGATGAGCCTCATCTCTCAGGGACCAGGGGACATCTTGGGGGGAACACAAGGAGCTGCTGCAACAGCTCCTGCTTCCCATCCTCGTATCCCACACCCCGGCTCTGGGCAGAGGGTAAACTGAGGCAGGTGGGTACTGACTACTGACCCCCCAGCATTGGCCTCAGCCCCCACAGGGTTTTCAGGGGTCTGGATGTTCCCTGTGGAGCCACCAGGTCCTGGTGAAACGTGTGACCCAAGGAGGTGGCTCCAATTCCAGCCCAGACTGGGGGAGATGACACAAGGCTGTGACAGTGACACCTCTGTGTCCCTCATGGAGGGAGGGCTCAGGCCACTCCAGAACCACAGAAAGTCCCAGTCCTGAGTTGGAAGGATGGATGCTGTGCCCAGGGGACAAAGGGTGGCTCTGGGGACAGGGAGAGCCAGCTGCCAGCATGGGATGGTGGATCAGAGGGGTGGAGGGTGGGAATGATCCCGATGTCTCTATTCCAGCCTCTAGCTCAGAGAGGGATGGGCTGAGGTGGAAAAGGCTCCAGAGGATGCCAGTGTCATCACCTGCTCACCACTGGAATATCCTCCTATGTGGGTGAGCCTTCCTCTGGCTGGAGATGGGAATCTGTCTCCATGGAGCTGGACACCCCAGAAAGACCCTGGTGACCCCTCACCAGTTCCACACACCCCTATGGAGCTGGGTACCCTGACCAGTCCCCAGCAGCTCCTCTCCTTGTGAGGACCCTGTTGCCCATCACCCCCTGCCCACAGGAGAGTTCCCACAGCCCCAGTGCCCACCCTGCCACAATTTTGGGAGGAGCCAGGCCCTTCCTCTTCCCTGGAGCCCCAAACTCACCCACGAAGAAGGTGATAAAGCAGGTGGCCAATGGCTCCTGGCTGGACCCAGAGCTCTTGGTCTGTCCTTGCCAGAGCCACTGGTGCCTTTGGCCACCACCTTGGTGGGGACATCTGGCTCCCCACCTGCCACCATCCCAAACCGGGGTCAGGCCTGGGCAGAACCTTACCAGGGACACCCCTGGGTGGGCACAGAGCAGGACCTGGGGGGGACAGGACTGTGGATGCAGTGGCAGCTCTTGGTGGCCTGTGACTTGGTCTGGGTGGCCTTGTCCCCCCCTGGGAGGTGGTGGCTGAGGGGACAGAGAGGTGCTGGCAGTGAGGGGGATGAGCCCCTCACACCGGTGTCAGGCCACATTGGGGTAGGGGGCTGCAAGGACCCTGCCAGGCTGTGGCCCCTGGGCAGGGGCTGGCAGGGGACCTGGTGCCACACATGCCAGTGGCTGGATTTGGGCACAGGGTGCTGAAGAACCTCCATGGGGAGGGGTTGGGTGGGTGACAGCCATGGTGTGAGGCCACTGGGGCTGTGCCAGGGCCACCTCCCTGCCTGGTGAGGGGTGTCCTGGCCAGTGGTTTGGTCTGGGACGAGTTGCTGGTCATGGGGGTGACTGAGTGGCCACCTGTCATGGCCAGTTGCTGGCCCCCCTATCCTGGCACTGAGGGTCCTCTGAAGGGCCACCAGCAAGTGGCACCAGCAGGCACATCACACCCCACAGCTCCACCCAGCTGGGGGAGGGGCTGGGGAGGTCTGGAGGTCCCCTGGGTGTGGGGGTTCCCACTGCAGGGCTGGGGGTCCCCCACAGGCAGCAGGGGATTGGGGACCATGGGGTTTCCCAGGTGTGACAGCCACAGCAGGTCCCCCACTTCCCAGGGAGTGACAGTGTCCTGCTCCCAGAGCAAAGAGCCAGCACGGTGGGATGTCACCAAGGGCAGTGTGGTGTCACCAAGGGTGGCATGACAGCCCCGTGACACTGACAGGGACAATTTGTCCCTGTCCTTCACTGGGTACTGGGTGACAAGCAGTCAGGAGCCACCCTGGAGGGGACAGAGCCACTGTCACCTCCCCAACCCCTCTGGTCCCTCCAGGTGAGCATCCCTGAAGTCTGCTGATGGAGGTTCCAGCCTGGATCCCGGGACCCCTTCAGGCTCCTCCCCCAGCTGCAGCATCCCTGGGGACATCCTTGGGGACATCCCCCCAGTCCCTTCATTGTCACTCCCCCATGAGCTCCTTGAGTTCCAAGTCTTCTCCAGCTTCCAAAGCTCAACACCACCTGAGGACAGAGATCCCCCACCTTGGGGACCTTAGTTTGGTTTAGGAAGGTGGCAAGGACAGAGGACAGCATGGCAGGGCCACAGGCCACCACTGCATGGGCCACCTTGGTCCCAGGGGACAGCAAAGGCAAAGCTGCTCCACAGCAACAATGGTCTGAACAGCTCCATCACCCGCCTGTCACCAGCCTGCGGGGACAGTGGTGACATGTCCTGCCATGTCATGGCACGGCCACCGGGCCAGGGAGGGGACACAGGGCTGGGGGAGCCTGGCAGGAACCACGATGGGGTGGGGACAGCGGGAAGGGCGACAGCGCTGCCACCACGGGGGTGACCGAGCCGGGGGTGCCACCACGCCCAGAACCACCACACCCCTGAGCAGGGGGGACCGTCCCCTCCTGCCTCAGTGTCCCCACGAGCTCCCAGCCCCCCCGGGGGAGGCGAGCGATTGCCAAGCAGGCCGGGCAGCGAGCGGGGAAGGATTTATTGACTCACGGCTCGGGGTACATCACAGTTTGAGCTCCCTCCCCGCCTCCGGAGGGGGCGTCGCCTTGGACTTCCCGGGCAAAAGTGCGCGGAGAGGCTTCACAGTTTGATCCCTTCGGGAAAGCAGAACCGAGGCAGTGACAAATGGCAAACGCTACGTCGTATGAAAAAATAATACAAACTCTTCTCTTTAAATATCTTACAGAAAAATGAACCTGAATAAAGAGCATGAAAAGCACCGCGTGGCGCAGCCCCCGAGCCCCGCCCCGAGCCCCCGCGGGCCGAGGGGACCGAGACGAGCCCTGCATCCCACCCGGGCATCCCACCCGGGCATCCCACCCGGCGCTGCCCCCGGGCGTGCACGCGGGCAAGGGGGGCGTGGGGGCGGCGGGAACCGCTACGTGCCTGTCCCCACGCCACGGGGGTGTCCCCCCACACGGACCCCTCGCTCGGCAGCCCCCCGGGACCGGGGTGCCGGCGGGAGCAGCGTGAGAGGCCGGCCGAGGGCGTTGCTACGAGGGTGCCCTGGGGGGGGGCCCTGGGGGGGGAGGCTCTGGGGGGGCCGTGGACCCCCTCCCGAGGGAGCCGGGGGTCCCTCCTGTGTCGCAGTGCAAGTTCACGGAAAGCCAAGGCACCGCCGCGAGGCCGCGGCTCTGTCCGGGGGGGTCGTGCGGGGGCAGCCCCCGGTGTGCAAAGGGGAGGTGAGCCGGGGCGGGGGGGACACGGGGACACCCGGACGGTCCCCGGGGGCAGAGCTACGGCGTGGGGGGTGCCCAGGGCCATGCGGCCCCGGGGAGAGCCGGCTCCCCGGGGCGGTGGGGGCAGCGGGGCGGGTGGCCTGTGAGGGGACGGGGTGGATGCATCCAGGGAGCCCCGGGGGTCCAGCCCCGGGGGTGGGGTGGGGGCAGCCCCAGGAGGTGCTGGCGGCAGGTGCAGCTCCTTCTCCCGCCGCTCCAGAGGGGTGTGGGTGGGCGGGTGGGTGGGGGTCTATCGGGGGGGCGCAGGGACCCCGCCCTCCCCCCGCCGGTGCGTCTCCCCGAAGGCTCGGTCCAGCTGCTCCAGTTGGGAGCTCAGCGGCAGGTGGATCTCCAGGTGCATGCGGAGGGTCTCCAGCCACTGCTCCAGCTTGGCGAAGGACGGCCTGGGCGACAAGGGGGGGACAATGTGGCAGCTCCACTCGCCCCGTCCCCACCCCGTCCCCCGCCCCCGGGGTCCCCAGGGGGGTCTGCGGCCCCTCACCGCTTCTCGGGGTCCAGGTCGCAGCAGGTGACGGCGATGGGGAAGAAGCTGGGGGGGCAGGCGGGGGGGCAGTAGCGCTCCAGGAAGCCCCTGACGTTGAGGCCGAAGTCGGTGGTGCGGGGCAGGTAATCGGGGTCGGCGCTCACCCGGCCGATGATCTGGGGGCAAAGGGAGAGAGGAGAGGGCTCAGCCCCAAGGGGGGACCCCAAGCCCAAAGGGGGACCCTCCAAGCCCCAAAGGAGGACCCCAAACACAATGAGGACCCACGGCCAAGGGAGGACCCCAAACACAATGACGACCCCAACCCTGAGGGGGAGACCCTAACAGGGAGACCCCAAACCCAAGTGGGGAGGCTCCAACCCCAAGGGAGGGCTCCATGCCCAAGAGGAGGAACCCAAGAACAGTGAGGACCCCACCCCCAAAGGGGAGATCCCAAGCCCTAAAGGGAACATATCCAAGCCCCAAGGGTGATGCCAAACACAACGGGGAGACCCCAAGAGGGAGACCCCAAGCCCAAGGCAGGACTCCAAGCCCAAGAGGGGGAACCCAAGCACAACGAGGACCCTAACTCCAAGAGGGAAATCCCAATCCTGGATGGGGGGCACCCTAAACATAACCCTAAACATAACAAAGACTCCAACCCCAAGGGGGACGCCAAACACAATGAGGACCCCAACCCCAAGCACAGTGAGGATTTCAATTCCCAGAGGGAGACCCCAATCCCAGGGAGAGAGAACCCAAACCCAGTGAGCCCCCCAAGCCCAAGAGAGGACGCTCCAGTCCCAAAGGGGAGACTCTAAACACCCCAACCCCAAAGGGGACACCCCAAGCACAGGGGTAGGTTAACCCAAACACAGCGAGGACCCCAGCCCCAGTGGAAGACCCCAGCCCCAGGAGTCCTTGCCTCGCACAGGACGATGCCAAAGGAGAAGATGTCCACCTTCTCATCGTAGCTCCTCCCTGCGGGGACACACAGGTCACACACAGGTCAGGCCACACCACGCACGGCCTGTCCCTGCCCCACCAATAGTCCCTGCCTGGGGACAGAGCCCTGGCTGGCCACGCTGCCCCTCACCATTGATCATCTCGGGGGCCATCCAGTAGGGGTTCCCCACCACCGTGTATCGCTTCTTGCGGTCCGGTTTCTTCAGGTTCTTGAGATGTTCGGGCTGGTTCTTCTCATCCACCATCAGCCTCGCCAGCCCAAAGTCAGCCACCACCACACTCTTGTTCTGGGGGGGTGCAGAGGGGGTGAGGCACAGGGGAGCCACACGGGGGGCTGAGACCCCCACCTGGGCCAGGGCAGGGACACGGCCGGGGTGGGACTCACCTCCCGCACGAGGCAGTTGTGGGAGTTGAGGTCGCGGTGGATGATGTTCATGGAGTGGAGGTAGGCCTGGGAGAAGGACGGGCTGAGACTGGGGGCACCCCCACACCACGGTCCCCCTTGCCCACCAGCACCCATCCCATCCACCCACCCTACAGCGACACCCATTCCCCCCACAATGACACCCACCCACCCCACAGTGACACCCACCCACCCCACAGTGACACCCACCCCACAGTGACACTCACCCACCCCACAGTGATACCCACCATGCCGGCGGCAATGTCCTTGGCGAAGCTGACCCGCTGGCTCCAGGGGTAGTGGCTGTCCTGGGGAGCAGGAGCAGGAGGGGGGATTTGCCACAGAACAGAAGAGGAGAGAGGTCCCCCAGCCCCACTGTGGGGTGGCGGGGGCCAACCTGTCCCCCCAGTGCTCACCATGCTCTTGATAAGGCCCCTCAAGGTGCCCCCCTTGATGTACTCCGTGATGAAGTTGAGCCTCTTCTCCTTGTACAGCACCCCGATGAACTTGAGCACGTTGGGGTGCTCCAGGCAGCGCATCACCTTCACCTGCAGGAGACCCCCCATGCCCCCCCGTGTCCGTGACACCCCGAGGCACCCACACCCACCTGGGCAGACCCCCTGCTGCGGGCAGGGCTGCACCCACAGTGCCTGGACACCCCATTCCATGTGCTGTGCCCAGACCCGCGTCAGGTGGGGGACAGGATGGGACAGCCCCATCCCTCGTGTGCCCCCAAACCAGGGGGGTTAAAGGAAAGGGGGGTTAAGGAAAGGGGGGGTTATGGAAAGGGGACACTCACCTCTTTGAGGAAGGTCCTCTGTGTCTCCTCGTCGAAGCGGATCAGCTCCTTCATGACCATCACCTCGCCCGTCTCCCGATGTGTCACCTGGGAGCACAGGGACTGAGCCACCCCCACCTCTGGGGACACCACCCCCCTCCACCCCGGGGGAGCCCAGACCCCCACGCTTGCACCATGAGTCCCACCTTGATGGCCTGGCCGAAGCAGCCCTTGCCCAGCACCTCCCCGTGGATGAGGTCGGAGGGGCGGAAGATGCGGTGGGCGCGGGACACGACGCGCAGGGACTCGGAGCGCCCGATGTCCTTGCGCTGGGATGCGGGGGAGCCCACGGAGCCCGAGCCCGGGGACTTGTCCGTGCTGCAGCTCCTCCTGTGGGACAGACGGACAGAGGGTCAGCCCCCAGGAGGGACGCCAAGGGGAGAGGGGCTGAGGTGGTGGCCTTACGTGACAGCGCGCTGGCGCATGGCCGCGGGCTCCGGGGGGGCCGGGGAGCGCAGGGGGCTGCACGGGGCGGGCAGGGGGCTCCCGGCCAGCCCCGGCTCCCGGGCAAGGGGCTCGTGGGGGTCGTGCTCGATGGTCAGCTGGAGCAGGCGGCTGGTCTCCTGGATCAGCAGGTCGATCTGGGGGTGGAAAAGGACAGTGGGGTGGTTTTGGGGCCACGCTGAGGAGGGGGGCTGGTTGGGGGGCACCGCGGGGGGATTGTACCTCGTCCAGGGGGACGTGGCCGATGGGGGTGCCATTGATCTCCAGGATGCGGTCGCCCACATGGATGGAGTTCTTCATGTCAGGGCTGATGCAGTCTGGGTCCACCCTGGGGGGCCAGCAGGAAGCAGGGTCAGACCCCCGAGAGTGTGCGGGGACACTGCCCATGGGGTCACCTCCCTGACACCCTCACTGGTGGGGATGTGCTGGGACACTGCCCATGGAATCACCTCCTGACACTGTCACCAGTGAGGATGTGCTGGGACACTGCCCATGACCCCCCCGCCCCCAGCCAGTGGGGAGGGGACAGGCTGGCACAGCCCCTGCGAGTCATCTCTGGGGACACACAGTCACTGCACCCACAAGCCACCCCTGCAAGATGGGCATGTGGAGGCAAGATGCCCACGGGCCACCCACTGTTGGTCGGGGACATGCAGGCATGATGCCCTTGTTGGTTGGGGACATGCAGTCATGGCACCCACGGGTCACCCTTGCTGGATGGGGCCATGCTGTCATGACACCCATGAGTCACCCTTTGGGATGGGGACACACAGTCATGGTCCCCACGAGTCACCCCTGCTAGATGGGGACACGCAGGCACAGGTCCCTCCTCCTGGACAGGGACGTGCTGGCACAGTGCCCACGAGCCACCTCAACCACATGGGGACGTGCCAGCCTGGTACCCAGGGGCACTGCCAGGATGTCACCCCCCAGCCACCCTGATGGCCAGGGACACATCAGCGTGGGTCCCACAACATCCCCCTGCAGCTGGGGACGTGCCACCCCTGGCCAATGAGGACCCCATCCCTCCTCCTCCCACCCCAGAAAGTGTCCCTGGGGTGGATCCCAGCAGCAGAAGGGACACAGGATGGCCCAGCCCCGGGGCGGGGAGGGTGGCAGAGGGGACAGAGGGGACGCACTCTCGGACACGGACGGTGCGAGGGTGCTCAGTGCCACAGCCCTGGTCGATGGACACGGAGAAGCCGCGTTTTCCGTCGGAGCAGGCGGGGATGGAGACGAGCGTGACGGTGTGTGGGATGCGGGAAGCCGGGGAATCCGGCAGGATCTGCTCGATCACCGGCGTCACCACCATCTGGTAATAGCAGTGCCCGCTGCGGGGACAAGGGGAGAAAAGGGTGGGCGGGGGGTGCCAGGGGATGAGGTCCCCACCCTCCCACGCGGGCTGGCACGTACCAGTAGAGCTTGGAGCGCTCCACCAGCGCGTAGGTGTCCCCATCCCCGATGAACGTGCGGCAGTTGAGGCAGCTGAAGCACTCGGGGTGGTACTTCTGCTCCCCGGCCACCTGTGGGCAGATGCCATCAGCCCCGGGGCCCCCGTGTCCGGGGCACTGAGGGTGAGTGATGGGGTTTGTGGGTGCTGGGAGCACCCATGGGTGCACTGGGGACAACGGAAGGGCGGGCAGGGTGGTGGGGACAGAGGTGCCACCAGGCTGGGAATGACTGCAGGGACATCTCTCACCACCCTGAGGCTCCCTCAGTCCCACCTAAAGTGCAAACCCCCAAAGCCCAACCCATGCTGGGGGTCTGCACTCCCCCCCCCCCCCCTTTTCCAGGAGCTCAGCTGTGGGTCAGGGCTCCGTGTCCCACCCCAGGGACCCCTGGGGACCCCCCGGTGCTCACCATGACCAGCCCCTTGGTGATGTGCTCGGAGCAGCCGTGGCACAGCTCCCCAAAGCGTGCCCAGTAATCCTTCTTGCAGTACAGCCGCCCATCCTTCTCGTAGTACAGGGTGGACAGGGAGGCCCCACACTCGCAGCACCTGCGCCAGGGACAGGGACACCCTTGTCACCCATCCCCATTGTCACCCCAGGGCACAGCCAGTGCTCCTCCACCCCATGGATCTCTGGACAAGCTGCTTCCCCTGTTTCCTACCCCACTGTATCCGTGTGCCACCTTCCCCAGGGTGGCAACAGGGGATTCCAGGGGTGACAGTGCAGGTCAGTGTTGCAGGGACAGCTGGGGACACCAAGCTGAGACAGACATGGGGCAGGGAGATGACAGCCCGGCATGGACGTGCCAGCCTGGGCATGGACACACAGAGGGATGTGCCAGACCAGTCACAGACATGCCACCCTGGTGACAGACATGCCAGCCTGGCACAGACACACAGAGGGATGTGCCAGCCTGGTCACGGACAGAGAGGACATCCCACCCTGGTGACAGAAACACAGAAGGACACGTCTCTCTAAGTATGGCTAGGGTGACATCCCAGCCTGGCACAGACACACAGAAGGATGTGACAGACTGGTCACGGACAGAGGGACATCCCACCCTGGTGTCACCCTGGTCACAGACGTGCCAGCCTGTCCATGGTCACACAAGGGGGATCCTGCTCATGGATCTGTCACCCTGCTCTGTCACTTTTGGGGGTGCACAGGCAGGTACAGGGGTGCTGTGTCAGGGGCAGGAGCAGGGCAGGGGGTACTAGAAGGGATTGGGGTGGGGAGGTGTGGGGGATGCAGGGGGGTGCTGTAGGGGATTTGCTGTATGGGGGTGCTGTGGGAGGGGTGCAGGGGGGCTGCAAAGGGGGAGTTCCTATAGGGGATGCAGGGGGGTGTGGCTGGAGGCTGCAGGAGGGGCACTATAGGGGATGTGCTGTAGGGGTGCAGGGGGGCTGCAAGTGCAGGGTTCCCATAGGGGATATGGGGGTGGGGTACAGACAGGGTGCAGGGGAGATGCTGTAGGGGATTTGCTGTAGGGGGCTGCTTTAGGGGACCAGGAGGGTTGCAGGTGGGGAGTTCCTATAAGGGGGAAGGGTGATTGTGGGGTTGCAGAGGGGGTGCAGGGGGTGCTGTAGGGGATTTGCTATAGGGGATTTGCTGTAGGGGGGATGTAGAGGGGATGCTGTAGAGGGGATGCTATAGAGGGGATGCAGAGGGCATGCTATAGGGGATGTGCTGTAGGGGTGATGCAGAGGGGATGCTGTAGGGGGTTTTCTATAGGGGCTGTAGGGGATTTGCTGTAGGGAGGATGCTATAGGGGACTTGCTATAGGGGATTTGCTGCAGAGGGGGATGCAGAGAGGATTCTGTATGGGATTTGCTGTAGCGGGGTATGCAGAGGGGATGCTATGGGGGATGTGCTATAGGGGGTGTGCTGTAGGGGGGGATGCAGAGGGGGTTCTACAGGGGATGTGCTATAGGGGATGTGCTGCAGGGGGGGATGCAGAGGGGTGCTATGGGGGGGGTGCTATAGGGGGGATGTAGAAGAGATGCTATAGAGGATGTGCTGTAGGGGGGATGCAGAGGGGGTGCTGTAGGGGATGTGCTATAGAGGATGTGCTGTAGGGGGGATGCAGAGCGGGTGCTGTAGGTGTGGGGGTTGCTGCAGGACACGCCGCAGGAGGTGTTGGGGGGTGCACGGGGACTGTCGCAGTCCCCCCCCAGCCGTGGGCGGGCGCGCAGGTGAAACACCAACCAGCGGTGACGTCACGGCGAGGAGTTTCCCCACCCCATGACGTCACCGCGCGAGGACTCCCCCGCCCGATGGCGCAGCACGAACCATCCCCTGGGCTGGGGGCGGGGATGGGGACGGGGAGGGGGAGGAGGGGGAGGAAGGGGAGCAGCGCGAGGAGGAGGAGGAGGAGGAGGAGGAGGAGGAGGAGGGGGAAGGCTCCCCAGCGCTGCCGGAAGCCGCTCACCCGTGGCGGGGGGGCCGGATCCAGCTGCGGCCCCGCAGTGGCTTCGCTGGGGCCGATGGCCCAAGGAGGGGGGGATGGGGGGCACAGGCTGAGACCCCCAGGGGTCCATGGGGTGAAAATCCGTCCTGACCCGATCCCGCTCCCACTCCCATTCCCATCCCCACTCCCACTCACTTGGCTCCAGCGCTCAGGACGCGGCTCTTCCTCAGCACCGTCGCCAGCATCCTCCCCCGGGGACA